CCTCAGCCTGCCTCAGCATCAACCTGTCTCAGCCTCAGCCTCAGCCTGCCTCAGCCTCAGCCTCAGCCTGCTTCAGCCTCAGCCTCAGTCTGCCTTCAGCCTCGGCCTCAGCTCAGTCAGCCTCAGCCTCAGCCTCAGCCTCAGCCTGCCTCAGCCTCAACATCAGCCTGCCTCAGCATTCAAAATGTGGCCCGGGAATGGAGTTCTGGGAACTCGAAGAACACGAAGTGGACTACAGTTGGTTTCGGGCATTCAAAATCATGCCCAGGAATGGAGTTCTGGGAACTCGAAGACCACGAAGTGGCCTACAGTTGGCTCCGGCAGAATCATGCCCAGGAATGGAATTCTGGGAACTCGAAGACCACGAAGTGGCCTACAGTTTGCTCCGGGCATTCAAAATGTGGCCCGGGAATGGAGTTCTGGGAACTCGAAGAACACGAAGTGGCCTACAGTTGGCTCCGGGCATTCACAATCATGCCCAGGAATGAAGTTCTGGGAACTCGAAGACCACGAAGTGCGTTACTGTTGGCTAAAAAACGAGTCCCCGGATTCCCGCGGCACCCGTCCGGCATCTGCCCAGACCCCCCTGGGGAGTCATGATGTTTTTTTTGAGACCACTAGAAACCTATCAGTCTTCGCTGTTAGGTAACAAGAGCCCCACCCAGGATGTGGGGAGATAGTCGGGTGACGATCCTTTGACAATTCATGATGATTGTGACAATCTTTGAATATTGGTTGGCTACTTTTTATTTTTCGCCCGGAATCCGCCTGTAGGGGGGCATGCCCGACCCAACTGTGGCCCTCCTCGCGCACCCGTGCGCCTCCGGTGCCCCCGTCGGGCTTGGTTCCTTGCGGAGCTGCCCGCGGCAGGTTCCGCAGCCGTGCCAGCCCAGGTTTTTTTGGGGTGGCGACGGATCGAGGGGGCGCGGGAGGCTGTCACGCGTGAGGCCTCGTGTCTTCACGCGTGGGAGAGCCATGATGATGTTAATGATGATGATGATGCTGCTGATGATGATGCTGATGATGGTGATGATGAAGACGATGATGGTGATGCCAGTGATGGTGATGACGATGCTGCTGCTGCTGATGATGACGATGTTGCTGATGCTGATGCTGCTGATGATGATGCTGCTGATGATGATGATGGTGATGATGGTGATACTGCAAAAGCTGATGCTGATGATGCTGATGATGATGATGATGAAGACGATGATGGTGATGCCAGTGATGGTGATGATGATGGTGATGTTGCTGCTGCTGCTGATGATGATGATGAAGACGATGATGATGATGATGATGATGATGATGATGATGATGATGATGATGATGATGATGATGATGATGATGATGATGATGATGATGATGATGCTGATATTTTTCAATGACTATGATGAGGATGATGATGTGGATGATGATGAATATAAGGAGGATGAGGATGAGGATGAGGATGAGCATGAATATGAGGAGGAGGAGGAGGATGAAGAGGAGGAGGAGGAGGATGAAACTCGTTTGGGCCGTCTTAGGGGCTGCCTTGGCCTACTCTGCGACCGTCTTGGGGGTTCCCTGGGGCCTCCTTGGGCCGCCTGGGGGCCCTCTTACGCCGGCTTGAGGCTATGTTTGGCCGTATTGGGGCCCTTTTGGCTGTATGGTGGGTGTTTGGGGGCCGTCGTGGAGCCGTCTAGGCGCCGTCTGGGGCCGTCGAAGGATCTTCTAAGGCCGTCTGGGGTCCCACGGGAGGTCCTCTTGAGCCTTCTTGTGACCGTCTTGCATACTTGTTGGGTCATCGCGGAGTCTTCTTGGGCCGTCTTGAGCTGATGGTAGCCCGAATGGCGACAAAGCAAACCGAATTCAGAAACCCAAAACATCGGACCCTGTTGGAGGTCCTCTTATGGTCATGTTGGACCCTCTTGGAGGCATCTTGGGCCGTCTTAAAATCAATGGTCGGCCGCCTTGGGGCCATCTTGGGCCGTCTTCGAGCCATCTTGGGTAATCTTGGTGTTCTTGGTTGCTTGCACGGGCCGTCTTGGAAGCTCGGGACGCAGATCCATCGCTCCTAACGAGGGATCGCTGCTTGGGAGGCACTGGGGCCGCGCGGGAGGGGCGCCTGGCAGTGCGGGAGGTGCACGATCCTCGAGCGGGTGCGCGTGGGGTGAGGGGCCTAGGGGGGGGGGAGGAGGAGGGGGAGAAGAAGAAGGAGGAGGAGGAGGAGGAGGAGGAGAAGGAGGAGTTAGCATTAGAACGTCCAGGGTTCGCTATGGATTGGTTTCCCTCCAAAACGACCGAAACCCTCCCGAAACCCTCCCAGACCCATCCGAAAACCTTTACGGAAGGGTTTCAGGAGGGTTTTCGGAAGGGTTTGGGAGGTATTTTGTCGCTTCCAAGGGAAACTAGTCCGTAGCGAACCCTGGACTTTCTAAAGTTAGCAGCTATGCGGGAAATCTGCAGTCCTCGAGCGGGCGCGCAGGAAAATGAGGGCTTAGGCATCATGCAGCTGCCACGCCGGACGTGTACCATTCTCGAGCGGGCACGCGCGGAATGGGGGTTCAGGCATCCGCTGCGACGCGGGAAGCGTCCTCCTCCTCCTCCTCCTCCTCCTCCTCCTCCTCCTCCTCCTCCTCCTCCTTCCTCCATCCTCCTCCTCCTCCTCCTCCTCCTCCTCCTCCACCACCTCCTCCTCTCTTCCTCCTCCTCCTCCCCCTCCCCCTCCTCCTCCTCCTCCTCCTCCTCCTCCTTCTCCTCCTCCTCCTCCTCCTCCCGCTCTCCACCATCCTCGCGCGGGCACGCGTGAAATGAGGGTTCAGGCATAGGCCGCCATGTGGGAAATGCACCATCCTCAAGGGGGCACGTGCGGAATGAGGGTTTCGGCTTCAGTCGGGCCTGTCCCCCCAACGAAAATAGCAAAATACCCCACAAAATAGTCCAAAAATAGTTTGGGGACTATTTTTCAAGTCACCTAACAGCTCTTGCTGATAGGTTTCTAATGGTCTCAAAAGAGAGCATCATGACTCCTCAGGGGGGTCTGGGCGGGACCCGGGGCGGGATCCGGGGAGGCTGCCGCCGAAGCCGAAATCGCTTCGGACATCCTCGCAAAATCGCTCTTGGTGCTCCCAGAATTCCATTCCCGGGCTACATTTTGGATGCCCGGAGCCAACTGTAGGCCACTTCGTGCTCTTCGACTTCCCAGAACTCCACTCCCGGGCCACATTTTGGATGCCCGGAGCCAACTGTAGGCCACTTCGTGCTCTTCGATTCCCCAGAACTCCATTCCCGGGCCACATTTTGGATGCCCGGAGCCAACTGTAGGCCACTTCGTGCTCTTCAAGTTCCCAGAACTCCATTCCTGGGCATGATTTTGAATGCCCGGAGCCAACTGTAGGCCACTTCGTGTTCTTCTAGTTCCCAGAACTCCATTCCTGGGCCACATTTTGAATGCCGAGGCAGGCTGATGCTGCGGCCGAGGCAGGCTGAGGCTGAGGCAGGCTGAGGCTGAGGCCGAGGCTGAAGGCAGACTGAGGCTGAGGCTGAAGCAGACTGAGGCTGAGGCTGAGGCAGGCTGAGGCTGAGGCTGAGCAGGCTGATGCTGAGGCAGGCTGAGGCTGAGGCTGAGGCTGATGCAGGCTGAGGCTGAG